TCTTTCCCTCATTTCTAAAATCTAATTTATTAGAAAACCATGCAGCTCCTCCCTGCAGAATGTATTTTTGATTTCTCCACTTTTTCCTGTTCCCATCGCCATCACCCACGAACCTTCCACACTCTCACTCAGACTCCTAACTGGTGTCTCTGCTTCCTCTGGCCTCTCCGCAACCCATTTTCCATGAAACAACCATCTGCTATTTTTAACTTTTTACAACTTACTTATTTCTCCTATGCTCGTGTGAGAGAGAGAGTCAGAGAACAGAACCCCAGCAGGGTCTCAACACTGTGGTCCACCCACACCCTAGCCTCCCCTGGATCATGGGGATGTGTGTACCTGGCATGTTCAGGAGTCCATGTGAACCTGGAACATTCCCATGTGGGTCAGTCTACAGTGTTGTGTTTTAGGTGCCACAGTCAGGCCCTTGATCTGTTAAAAATGCAAATGAATAGTCTTTAAAAATGTAAATAAATCACTGTGTTGTTTGTAACCCTTTGCCAGCTTCCCATCAAACCCCCATCAAATGCTCTTCAATACTTCCTTTCCTAGGTGTGCCCCTGTGTGTGTGAACCCTAGCCCCATCGTGAGCTGAGCTGCGTTTCTGTCAGTCCCCCACTCCTCCATGGCCAGGGTTGGCTAGTCCTGTGCCCTGAAGGCTGCCATGCAGCCCTTCTTCTGCTTAGGTGGATGTTCTTCTTCACCCTCCTCGTTTCCCAGGGAGCCTTCCCAACCACCCTATCTGAAATAGTGCACCTACTGTGGGAGTCCCTTGGCTGAGTTCCTCTTCGATCAGCCTGACGCTCCCCAGACACATCAACAAATTAATATCCTCTCTGTACCGGGCAGAGGATGATCAGTGACCCGTGATTATCAAGCACGTAAGGAAGTTTGCACTTCTTTCAAAAAGATAAAATTTGCACGTTATGAACATTAAGTGATTGTGGAGCTGATTTAAGAAAGTGCTATCTCAAAACGGTGCAGCTAGCTCTTTGGTCTGGTACTGAGAGTAAAGGGGGGCCTGCCCGGAACCTGCCCAGAAGGGGTGAGGGAGCTGTGATTGGGCCTTCTCACTGCGGTCACCCATTTCCGCTCCAGAGGCTATCAAAGACCTCGATGTTCCTCTTCGAGGTAGTTACTCGGTTGCTGATAAAACCCTTTGTGCTCCTTGCCCCCAGAGAGGGTGGCCAGCAGCTGCCTAGCTGGGAGGGAAGGTTCTCGTCATCACAGGGCAGACGTGTGTGCGTGATGTCAGTGCCCTGCGGGCGTTGAGGCAGAAGGTCGGCTCCCTGACTGGGCTCGGTCAAGCTTCTCTGTATTTTAATGCTAATTCCTTATTACTTATTTTTACTGATTTTTGGCGCTTGCCTAAAGCAGTCAGGAAAGAGGTGTTAGGAGTTCAGCATCGTGATGTGAACGACTTCCACGGCCACCTTTGTAGTGTTTCCTTCAAAAAAGGGACTTTCAAGAATTACAAAGACACTGGGACGGATACTCAAATTCAGGACAATCAGTATAAATGTGATGCTTGGGAGTTCCGTCCCATGCCCTGTTCAGCTCAACGTGTTCCTGACTATATAAAAATGTGATCTCTTTTGAGGAAAAATTACATTTTTATTGGTGTGCTTTTACTAGAAGCTGCACAGAGATACAGACTTTTCATGAACTTTGAATAATGATAGTTATTTGGAAATCAATGCAATTACAAAAAAAAAGCAAATAAAATATTGGGGCCAGGTCGTGATGCAGCAGTAAAGCATGAACCCACATGAGATAGGGTCCGGGGTTAACCTGGGAACTGCCTGAGCATACTAGGCAGGCACAGCTACCTGAGCGCCCGGCTGGCTGAGTCACGCTGGCTTGCAGCAAGAAGACCCTGTCGGGAGGGCCTGTTTCTGTGTCTCTGTCACTCTCCCTCTTGCTCATAGAAGAAATAGAGTAATATCTCACTTAATGACTGAGTTCCACTCCTATGACTATGGCATTAAATAAACAGGTCGGTCTGTGAGGAACTCAAAGGTGGATGGATATCGTGTGTGTGTGTGTCTGTGTGTGTCTGTGGTGTCTGTGTGTGTCTGTGTGTGTGTGTGTGTGTGTGTGTGTGTGGTGGTTGCCATAGAGTATGGACATTTCAGTGGGTGTCATGAGTTACCACACTAGAATAGTGTAGTTCCGTCCACACAAAAGCATGCATTAGATCAGTGCCAGAGAAACATCAAGACATGCCACAATGCAGAACTATTAATCTGGTGTAATTGTTTTGATGTATTCTGAATTCTATGATGGGCGCACAGTAAAGAACAAATTTTATATATGAAATATATAATCTTGTGTGATTGCAAATGCTTCATGTAGTGAATACCGTCTACTGTCTAGGGGACTAAAGACTGAGAAAGGGGATTCCTTGTGCTGGAGACCCAGTCTAATTCTGAATGATCACTAAACAGGTAGGTTGTTAAGTGAGGCATAGCTGTTAATAAACCAAAAAATAAATTTTCTAGGGCCAGCTGGCGGCATGGTGGTAAAGGCACTGGATCCCACGTGACTGACGGCATGTTTCAAGTCTTGGACCCAGCAGCTTAAAACACACACCAGGCGTTGTGCGTGCATGGCTCCAAATTCTGAGAGATGAATGGGGAAGGATTGTGGCATGGCCATCCCCTTGGAGGGTACTTTCTCACTTTCTCTCTCCCTCTCTTTGCCTCGCTCTGATGAGTGCACATGCCCTATAGTATATAGCAAATTAGAAAAATGTTCTAATTGCAGAAAAGTAACGTGGTCTTAGTTTTATAATGTCCACCGTAGGCCCAGTGGCAGTGGTTGAGCAAGGTGGTGTTGCTGCCTAGTGGCTGAGGCTGCAGGGAGGCCTGGGTTCAGTTTCTGGCCCAGTCTGAAATAGGCTAGACATGTTGACATGCTCCTGTGGTCCTAGCCAACTGGGAAGCTGGGGCAGGAGGACTGGAGCCTGATGCAATCCCATCAGAAATACTTAGCCCTGCTCTCCCTGCACACATCGTATGTGTGCTTTCTCTCATTTAAAAAAAAATGAATCACCACTATCTTGCCCTTTAGTAGCCAAACTTTTAATTTTTTTCTTATTCTGCTATAGCTGTTCGTATTTATCTTTTTTTTCCCCTATAGTTGTAATCATGCAATGATAATTTTGTGTTCTGATTTTCCCATGGGATAGTTCTTATGTTTCTTTCTTTTTCTTTTTTTTTTTTTTTTGGTAGGTTTTTACCATTGGGTTTTGTGGTCGCG